GTCGGGGCTGTGGCGGGTGCCGGGGCCGTGGTGGGGAGCAGGGTCTGTGGCGGGTGTCGGGGCTGCGCTCACCGTTGAAGTTGACGCTGCGGATGTACTTGAGCAGCCTCTTGCCCCCCGCGTGCTCCATGTCGGAGCAGAGCCCGGCGCTGTCGGCGCACAGGTCACGGTTCATGTGGTGCAGCGCGTGGGCCATGGCGTACACGGCGTCGATCACGAACTGCACCTTCCCCTCCTGCTCGTACGGGGAGTCCTTCCCGATGCGCTCCTGCCCTGCAGGACACACCAGCCACAGTGAGGAGCAGCGCTGGCCTCCGCTCAAACCCCTCCCGGAGCACATCTGAACAACCGCGTTCAATCGACACAGAGAAGCATTCTGAGCTAGGGTTTTACTAATTAAAACATAAACAAACCTCTTTTATGGCTACCAGAATCACTGACACCTCTTGCAAGTTGTTTTGCATAATCCAGAGAAACCCTGCCATGATCACCAACCTGAAGCCCTAATCTACAGGGACCACCTTAGAGAGAGAAAACTCCAGGTCCCAAAAACTCCCAAAGCTCGGCTTTGAAACAGGAAAGTATTTAAAATAAGTACAGCTGGTATTTAAAGTTTTGTTCTGCTGCAAATCCCAGACTCTAATTGAAAGTTGGGGCCAGATTGAGGGAAGAAAAAGTCACTTCGGAGATGCCACCAAAGGGGTGATCTGGAGAACTGAGGAACATGAGGGTATTAATGGCATCTCAGGAAGCTCTGAGTGTTGGCACCCCCAGCCTGCAGAGGCTGAGATGTCCTGCAGAATCCACTGACTCTAAAATATTTTAGCAGGAGAGCCCTCAAGGAAGCCAGCCCTTAATACCACCCCAGGCACAGGGGGGGAGCGCTGTGCTGGGGAAGGGTGACAGTCACTGCTCGGCCACCGCTGTGCAGGAACCACAAACCCTGGGCAGCTGCTCAGCACACAGGGCAAGGCAAGAAAAACTGAGAGCAGGGACGGCTTGTGCACATGGAAAATCAGAACTTCAATCTGTAACAAGCTGAAGAACTCCAGAGCGGTGACAAAATAGGTGAATCCAAACATCTGAAGTGGAAGGTTCGTGCCTTAACCATTCTCCCACCCTCAGGCTCAGGATGGAGGAGTAGCCTGGTGATGTGGCCTTAACCCAAGGCACTGAGGTGGCTTTCATGCCTTTCTGGTAACCTGAACAGGTAACTAACTGGGTGCAAACCAAACAGTATTTCCAGAGCTCAAAGCGAGACACCCCAAGTTGAGAATCAGGAATCTGGGATTCATTTCTTTTCCCCTGGAATTGCCCACTAACTCCTTGGTATTCCCTGTCCAGGTAACACCTGCTGGATTCAATCTGTGCAGCTGCAAACTGTCACCACACCGACCCACCTCACAGGGATTCAGGGAATGTCACTGCTGCTGGGGAGTGGCCTGAGCTGCAGCCACGAGGCACCACAAGCACAAGCTACTGTTTTCCAAGGGTGGCAACACCACGTTCCACGTTCTACCTGCATTATCCCACTTTTCTAACCTCACATGGGTCTTGCTCACCTTTCTGCAGCACCTGCAGGGCTGGGCACTGCCAGCAGCTCCAAGAAACCAGGCCTTGGAGTCATCCCTTGCAAATATTTCAGATGTTCAATCAAAGTAAATGTTCCAAAGTGTTGGAGTGGGAGAAATTTCTTTGTTAATACCCTTAATTAGAGACAGGATTGAGTGAATTTAAATTAGCTGATACCAATAAGGAAAGGAAATCAAGCTGTTAATGACGGTGAGAACTAATGATTTCATAGAGGCAAGAAGTCCATTTTCCTGTTGCTGCTCAACTGGCAGGTTTGGATCTCTCCCTGCTGCTCTAACCACCAGAAGCTTTACCAGCCCCAGCCCCACCATCTTCCCCCCCCAGCAGAGCAGGGTCTGCAAAAAACCCCCCCCCAGGGACAGCCCAGCCCAGGCCATCCCCTGGGGTGCTGTCCTGGCTCAGCCACCAGGCTGGATTGTTCTCCACCCAGCCTGAGAGCAAAGGCTTCCAATTTTGTTTTCAGCTCACGAGAAAAAGGCAGAGTCCTAAAAAATCCCTTTTTTTTTAATCTTCTTTGAGTGAAGAGGCAGCAGACCAGAATTCCAAATAAGCACACAGAGATAAGAACAGAAATTCTACAAACAAGAAGGATCATGGAGTTGTTGAGGTTGGAAAAGCCCTGTAAGATCACTGAGTCCAACTGTTCCCTCAGCACTGCCAAGGCCAGCACTGACCCAAATGTCCAAATATATCCACAAAAGAGATTTATCTGAATGAAAGCAAAGAGACACCCCCCTATATGAACATCTCTAATTATCTACATTTCCTTCTTCAAGGCTTGGCTCTGTATTCACCAAATTGCACCACTGATGTCTCATCTGCTCAAACTACTCTAGAGCTGGAGAGGGACTTTGGACAAGGGCCTGGAGTTACAGGGCAAGGGGCAATGGGGTAAAGTGGCAGAGATGCGGTTTAAATTAAATATTAGGAAGAAATCCTTCCCTGTGAGGGTGGCCAGGCCCTGGCACAGGTTTGCCCAGAGAAGCTGTGGCTGCCCCATCCCTGGGAGTGTCCAAGGCCAGGCTGGACCTGTGCTAGTGGAAGGTGTCCCTGCCCATGGCAGGGGGTGGGAGTGGATGTTTTTAAGGTCCCTTCCA